GCCAGGCAAAAACATTCCACCGCGAATACGTGACGTTTACATCGTCGAGTGGTTGCTGCTATAACCGGTGCTTTCTTGCGACCTCTTACATCTCCATGTTCGTTAAAAATAATTACGAAGTCGCGCGAACGATCGGATTCTCCTTGGATAACATCGCGTTCTTTCCCATCGAATTATTTTATTGCCACCGTATGTGCTATGCTTAAAATCGGGATATCATCTTCCTAAAGAAAATTTAAAAAGCGAATAATACTCCGAGGTGGGTCGCAGTAAGTGGTCTCCAAATTTATACGATTGTCGAACAATATTCACATCTTCTTTCTTTTTCTTTTTCTTCCTCGTTCAAGAGAATGAGAAAGAGAGAAAGAGAGAGATAAAATAATAGTAGTGGGAAGACACGAAAATCGAGTTTTTCATAGCTTAATTGTTTCATCAAAAATGTTCAAAAAACTAGAATGTTGAGTAAAAAAAGAACAGGTGTTTTTAGATTCTCTCTTTTATCCATTCGCGTGCATATGATACGTACCAAGGCACACACGTGTAATCTCTCTTCCTTTCTCTAACTCTTTCTTCTTTGACTTGAAAGAAAAGCAAATCCTTTTGTCCCCGAGTGTTTAGTTTAAAAAAAAAAAAGGAATCCTTATCCTCAAACTCCTTAGAAATTCGTTCTAGGCACAACCTAACAAACACAATGAAAATGAAGAAGAGTTTTGATGGAAAAGGAAAGAAAATAGGTGAAAATGAAGAAGAAAAGGGACAAAGAAAAAGGACAACGGTGGAGGAGATTCGTGACGCTCGATTTGTCCCGAATCGACTAACATAAGAATAACCGTGGCGTGTGTCTTCCGGCATGGATTCTTGAATTTCTAACCACGTATGTGAATAACATACGTAAGTACATTACCTGAACGAGCTCTACGTTCTCGCTTAGAGGAATGCCTCTACTAATCCTCGAGAGCAGACGTCCGAGCGGCAGCTTCTACTATGAGTTATGGTAAACGGGTGCATAATTTGCCCGTTTCTCATGCTTTCACTTGGCCGTCAAAGCCGCGGAGACGAACGTTCACCGAGTAAAGAGCCTAAACGACTCGTTCCGCTCGAGATCATACTCGACGATATTTCTACGTTTCCTTATCTCTTTTGAGATTCACTAGAATTGTTCAATTTTTCTTTTTGTTTCTTTTGTGCGTTTAACGATTAATACTCTCAGAACGGTCGTTAACGAAATAACGGCGATTGAGAAACGTCGCGATCTCGTTTCTCTTTCTCTCTCTATTTAGCGAGAGTGCGATAAACCAAATTGGCAGGTGATCCAGCGTAATTGACTTTCCAAGCATGGTGTATTGCAGTCGCGGATCGATGCTTATCCGGCCACGTCCGAAATGTCCGCGTTGATTATGCATCTGTGCGATTTATGCGTCAGCAATGCGACACCCACATACGCATCGTTTATCGTGCTCAATTTCTCTCTCTCTCCCTCCCTCTTTCTCTCTATCTCTCTCTATCTATCTTTCTATCTATCTCTATCTCTATTTCTCTCTCATTTGGTTTTCCGTTAACGAGCAGAACACGCTAACATTTCAGTAATCAAACCGAAGAGAGAGAAATAGACGCGGTATAATCATCTCGTTTAATTCATTAAATTAGTTAACGATGAAAAGTACATATTTGCATGACAATTCATAGGTGGTCGTAAAGCCTCAACTTGTACAAATGTATCGTTCCGATAGAATGTCTTTTTTTTTTAAACATTTGTCACGGAAGATAAAAGATAGAAGAAAGGGAGAGTGAAAAGGGTATATAGGTACGCGTATAGAAAGTTGATTTCTCGACCGACTTGTTAAGTAATTTAATAGAATATAATCGTCTCGTTTAGATAGTGGGCTGGTGGGGAGACGGGGGGGGGGAAAGACATTCGTAATACCGGTCAACGCCACTTACCGATCCCATTTGTCTTCCCATCTCGAGTTACAGCGCGACGAAGCGCGTAATCGCGGCAAACAGGGCACCGAGGCCGCGGGGATTGCTCGATGTAGATACCTTCGGACGTACGCGTAACCCGTAATTAATCGTCATCGCATGTTCGAGATCTTCCTGTTTCGAGTTGGTACAAGATTGGTGCGCGCGCCGCCATAGGATCGCCATAAATTTGATCACCGTCGAAGTTTCCAACGTATCGTTCGTCTCCTTTCTTTTTCTCTTTTTCTCTCTTCACCTCCGGCAATTTTATAACGCATTATACGATCTCCTTCTTTATTCTTGATCGTCCTTGAAAGAAGATTGAACAAAAATAAAGAGTAGAGAGAGGGAGGAAGGTAAAAGGGAGAACAAAATTTCATATCGAATCGTCCGAGAAAAATGGTAAATTTCTTTAAGATCGTTCGATATAAAATGTTCCTCGGAGCACGCTCGTATCCTTGAAAATGAAAGGCGACGTATGTAGGTACGTCGTAAATGGGTACATATATTTGTATATGTTCCACGGGATCGGTACTGATTTCGGTTGAAAAACTTTGAATCTTTGTACATTTGATACAATGAAAATAAGATAGTAGTTGTCGTTCCGTATACGAGTATATACGCGTTCTCTTAGCGTACTGGAAAAACGATCGTAATATTCCGTTCGCGAATGAATTTCTATGCAAATGTAAGATCGAACGCGACGTAAGTATTTGAAGGAGGAAAAAAATCGGTGTATCATCTTTTATACGCGAGATCGTGTTAGTGTCCTGAATACAGTTGGTTTACGAGCTACAACGTATCGACTCGACGATGATATCGTGAATATCTCGCAATTCGAATGAGACGGCACATCGTCAACATTTTTTAAATTAATATCTAGTTAAAGTAACCTATCGGAATAAAATAGATTCTTTTCGCGATGATATTGACAGACATTATTTTTTTATTGTCCAGAGAAGAAGTGAAAATTGATGTACGTTAGAAGCGTGAATATTTGCATGAAGATAAGATTGTATATATAAAACTATGCAACGATTAGTTGAAATAGACAAAGAGGCGTAGACAGAAAGAGTTAACGATAGTCGTCGTTAGAAATCTCGAGAAGAACGTCGTGTCTCTGTACCTCGCGTATATATAACGTTAATGTGTTACATAGTTGTATCTTGGCGCTTGTCTACGCGTTACTTACATTCGTCCGTTTCTCTCTCACTTTCACGTTTACCTTACCAACGTTACTCTTAGTCGTATCGTTAGTATTATCGAAACGATCCTTACCATGTTTACCAAGAGTATAACGTGTTTCTTTAGACAAGCCTTATTTAAGCCACGATTCCAACGAAATTATTTTCTATTTGTCTTTAGCGAGAATACGTTTATTACCATTTATTACTTTACAGATATAGAATATATACGAGGAGATATTTACGAAATGAATAATTCTACGCGTGCGATTACATGCTTACATACATATGTATATACAGTCGTACATGTAAATAAAATCTATATGTAGAAGTATATATATATAATTATATTAACATATATTATACTTATATATTTTCTAATAAATTTGATAACGCTTAGATATTGCGATAAGTTTATCGATTATTATTCACGGAAATATGTATGTATTATATGTGGCATTGATATCGTTTAATTTTGATTAGGCGTGCCGCAGCGAGATAATGCGCGTGAATGAGGCCACGCGATCGTCCGTAAACTTGGCCATACACAAGAGCGTGGATCGAACTCGATTATCATCTTAATGACGACGTTCATATCGAATCGTTCACGAGCGAACGCTCATCGAACAGGCTTTCCTCTCGTCAACCGAGACGACGACATAAAGTATTCAGCAAAGCTGCTACGTGAAAGTATTTCATATTTAATCGACGTCACTGTCTACCACTGTCGACACGCCAATTCGACAACTTCCAAATTTATTCTCCCTTCGTCAAATTAGTAATTATCGTCTACGGAAAACTAAACTTTCATCCGAAGGTCGTCTAATAGACGGAAATTTAATTTTTCAACGCGTACACAATTTACAACGAAGACTAATCACGTTGATTTGTATAAACAATTAAAAAATGGATAGGTGTATGTATACTATGTCTCTATATGCAATTATTACATTAGGATTTCTTCGAAGAACAGGTACACGTAATTTATATTTTGTTTACATACGAAGATACATGTACTAACATCATATCTATATGACCTCGGCTGTAATAGCTTTCATACTAGTCATCTATCGACCGTGCTTATATAAACATCGTTGCTCGATCTCTGCCATATTTTTACTTATCCTTTTATACTCTCATACGAGTTATATTTCACATTATTCGTAGAACAGTGCTAAATTTCATTTATTCTTTCATTAATTAACGATCTTTTATATATAATATTATGTCAATACATTTCCTAGAAACGTGCATTGTTAAATATTAATAACAGGATCTTCGGAGGATCATCAACGCATTCGACGACTTCATTATATATTAATATGGAAAATGATTTTTTTATATTATTTAATAATCTTCTTTAACATTATTTTAACACGTTTCAGAAAAATTGTAATATTATTTAATATCGTGGAATATTATTAACAGCGAGGATCTCCAGAGGATCATTGACAGAGATACGATCAATTTGTAATATTCATTAGTATTGAATTTTATATTATTATTTAATAATCCTTTGTTAAAACATTATTTGTGAAAATGTAATATACAATATCATCGAGTACGATCAACAACGAGGGAATCTTCAGGGGATCATCGGTGTAACATTTCTCACCAACAATAGACGTAACGAGAATCTCTTTCTAAACCGTTCTAATCGTATTTTTCTTTGCGGTCCAGAAGGCACGATAGTGCGAGTTGCGATCGACGATAACATAACGCGTCGGTTCTAATCCATTTGGATATCTTTCTTAGTTTCGGTGTTGTTATGGGAATGGAAAGGCGAGTTTGGCTTCTATCAGCACGACCGATCGTTTAGATATAATTACTGACAATCTTGAAGGGCTCGTGGTATCTCTTTATTCGTGATTGGCCATTTCCATGGTTCTCGGTGATCGTTAACGAGCCTACAAAAGGAGAAAAAGATCTATAAGAGAAGAAGAAGAAGAAGAAGATCGTAAAGGAAGAAACGGAATTGCTAGGAAGGAACGAAGGATTGTAGCGAAACGTTCATTCTGCCATTCTATAAATCCTCCATACACGGGCTTTCGTCTGCCGAGTTCAACCTGAAAATCAATTTCTTTAACAATTTATAGCGATCCTTGAGAGCGTTCACCGGCAATGCAAGAAATTAGATATCAACGAGGAACGATTCTCCTACTTGTGACGATATCGGTATGCTTGGTGTTGCTTCGCAAAACGCGTATAATAGAAACGGCACCGTCTTCCTCGATTTAACGCGTAACGTTACCATCCTACATCGAGCTTGAATTAAAACCTGACCGATGATTTTCAAGCAACACGGATCGTGGAACTGCCGAAGAACGATATAAATTTCTAACTCGAACGATCATCTGTGTATTTCATTCTATAGCATTTCTTATTCTTATGCTTATTCTTATTATTCTTCTTCTTCTTATTCTTCCTCCTCTATAGAAGTCAGCTGAGTTTGTTGTTGGAGTATGATTCGAGAGATTCAAAAAATCATAAATTATCGAACAGAGAGAAAGAGAATGAGAGTTGAAATATATAGAAGGAGAATTAATAAAACGTACGGGTTACAAGGTTTCGATAAGGATCGTATAAAAATTGTGCATCGATATCGTAAATCGATTTCGTATTCCAGCATGCGTCCTACGTCTTCTTAGCGCGGCCTGGGGTGAGACCTGGGAAACGCGTGAATTAACAAGCGCGTCGTCGTTTCGCACAATCGCTAACGGTTGTACGAACAGAATGTCGTAATTCTCACGAAACGACAATATTCTCTCGGCTCTATAGGTGGTCATTAATGTGCACACGGGTGCCGTAATAAAGACGAAAGAAAGTTAAGCAGAAAAGGAAAAAGAAAAAAGGATGTAGTTTAGAGGAAAGGGTAGACCGATTGACCGGTCGAATAAATTGATAACAAAGGCTCGTATAACTATTAATTAATTATCATACTGAAATAAACATTTTTAACAAGATCTCCAGAGGATGGACCTTCAAAATTTGCTTGGTTATTCGTGACAACTTTTTAAATAACGGACGTTTAGTCGCGTAACTTGCTTGCCAAGAGGTACGCGCTCGGTAGATAATAATTAAAAAGACTTTTCTTTATCTTCTTTTTAAATTCTTTTCATTCAACCGATCGTGGAAGATACGAAAATATAATATATACGCTTGTGGTAAACAGGTACCCGAGTTTTTCTCTCTTTATTTTGGTCTCCGTTTTTCTTATATTGTAAAATGTACCATCTTAACCAACGCGTCCAGTAGATCGGTTTAATAAGGATGATAAAACGACGTTAACGCGAAATTACGAAACGTCCTTTAGGCGGACCTCCTGGACGGTGGTGGAATTGTCAGTGTAACCTGACGATCAGCGGGTGTCCATTCGAAAAAATACGATTCGCGCGTTCTCTCATACAAACTTTTTTATACATGTAGATGCACGCGCGATGGAGAGATCGTCTCTACGAAGTTTCTCCGAGGAGCTCGAAAAATTGGCACTAAAGCCGATGGACGTCTTCATATCCATGCATCTCACTGTGGAGTCCGGACCCCGTGCAGGTAATTCCAACGTCACCACCACCACCGCCATCGCCACCACTGTGGATTTGAATATCTCTATAAATAATCGATTATATGGCGAGCGTTAAACGTCTTAATGAGCGAGGCACCATGTCTTGTCTCTTGGGTAGCCGAAAGACGGGACCCTGTTCTTCTCTTTCTCTCTCTTTCTCACTCGTACTAACACGAAGCAACCCGTGCTCGCCGTCTCTTCTTCGTGATTATCGTTTCCTCCTCAACGCCGACCAACAACCAATGAAGACGCTTCGGTAGAACGTGCGAATGGTCGATGAGAATTTCAAAGGAAGCGAGAGAGAGAGAGAGAAAGGGTAAAGTTCCTTCGGTGATTAGCTCGAAGGATATTAGAAAAGAACAGACAAAAGAAAAAAAACAAAACATACAAGAAGGGCGATGAAATTATCGAATTCTCGACGCTTCCGTTACTTGATCAATCCTTTTAGAAATACAATGAAATACAATATTCTTCAATTATCTTTTTGCGAGAAATTCAATATAATAAATTTAGGTGATCGTTGAATATATAGAAGGTATAATTATTCATAGTTTATTTCGACGATATAATTAGAAGAAAAAAATATTTAGATTTTTTTCTTCTTCTTAGGTTTTCTTTCGACAAAACTTTCAGATGATCTTTGAAATATTTTTCTTTCTACTTTTCGCATATAACGTTACATAGGAGGAAACTTTGAGTTGCCGGACGGTAGTAATTAAATGTTATAGGAGTTTGACTTAATTAATCCCACCGAGAGATGTTACGAGATATGAGACCACGATGAGTGAGCGAGGAGGAGTTTCTTCGGTCGGCGGAAGTTTCGAGAGTTCAAAGAAAGACACTCCCATAGAAACGTATATCTTCGGAGAGAAGATTAGAAACAAACAGCACGAATGTACGATGACTTCCAGAGAAATGCTTGGCCAAGTTTCATTTTCGATGGCTGAACGATTCGTTATCTCGCCGGTGATCTCATTCTAAGGTGTTCTCTTTCCGTATGTTCACACCATTCATTTTGATAGTCCCAATTTTATTTTTGTCATTTTAAATGATCAAAGGCTCATCCGAAAGATAAAAGTTTTCTTCCCGAGTTGATTATCTAATATTATTAGAACAGACGTTCTATTATCGTAAAATGGTCATTTATTTTTAACTTTTACGTTAATGACTTTAACGTTATGACAGCCATATGAATAGCTATAGAAAACATTTTTTTATGCCTTCAGCCCCTATTACCAAGCTATACTCGGCCTTTCTCGGTGCTATAATTTAAAAACGCAAAGAGCTTTGAGTGGCTAACTCATCACAAAGGACTGGGTGACTGGTGGAACCGTTGGTGACGTAATAGATCGCACGGAAATGGCACTCAAGGGTTGTTTCAGGAACGAAGTGATATCTAGGTCGAGGCTTCTTGAAATTCATTCCCTCATTTTCTACTGCTTTAGTCTTTCCTTATAGCTTCGTAAAAAAACGCAAACGATGCAACACCAAGTATCAACCCTACTTTTTTCTACTTGTTTTTCTCCTAGTCTCTAGCTTTGAACTTCTTAAGTTTTCCCGTTATAGCGGTCATCTTCTTTAGCCCGTTTTTTTTTTCTTTTTATTTTTTTCTTTTTATTTTCGAGTCCTGTTTTATATCGTAGAATAGGTGTAGTACCCAGGGAAGACTTTAGAGAAAACTGAGATTTTATCGTGTCGACACGAACCGCCAGCTTCGGTCGGTCTTCGTGTCATCGGTGTCGTTTTTCAAATGGCGCGTCATCTATTTTTCGCGTTAAAAGGAAGAGACCAAAGAAGATGGCGAACATCGAAGGAAGATATTATTTTACACGCCTGACGAACCGTGATTAGGACGTATTTCTTTTTTTCTTTCTTTTTTCCTTTTTATAATTTTAATCCCTGAGAGAGAAAAAAATATAAAGAGAGAAATAGAGAGAGAGCGAGAGAGAGAGAGAGAGAGAGAGAGAAAGATAAAGAATAATAGATCCACGGATGCGTAATATAAATCTATCTTCCTTCCTTACTTTCGATATTTAATTTGTCAGCGTATTTACAATACAGCTTTCCTTTCTACGCGAGTAAAAAGAATACGAATGCAGCTACGATATGATCGTATAGAAAGGAAATTGAAATATCAGGAAGTTTGCGGGATATTGGAAAAATTGGATTCGATTCTGTCTGTCTTTTTCACTCTCATTTTTGCATCTATCGTATTAATGGAACATAGTATATATACTATACGTATTTGTGAATCATATCAGATAGCAAATGGAAAGAAACAATAGAGTACTCATGTAGGAAGGATAACATGTTTCATTATTGAATGAACAAAAATTGATGGGAGACGGAAGAGGGGGTGAAGGGATTCGTTCGATTTTACGCATTCTGAAATCTACAGTATTTTTTTATCTAGGAAGTTTAAGAACTAAGTTATATTGACATATATAAAAAATAGAGTAAAATAAGAAGAAGAAGAAGAAGAAGTTTCGCGTGGATGATCTCACGCGTAATACAGGGTGTCGGAGGATAAAATATCGGGTGTTGTCGAGGTGGTAGTCTCATCATAGCAAGAGACACCTTATCCACAATATTCGTCTCCCGTTTTACTAAAACTTAATCTACCGGTGTCTCGCCACTGTCATGTGGGAAGGAAAAAGAAGAATAACAAAAAAAGAAAAAAGAAGCAACTAAAAAGAAAAACGAAGAAGAAGAAGAAGAAGGAAAAGAAGGAGAAAGAGTATTATTGGTGCGAGGAAGGCAAAAAGTTCCTAGGGTCGTTTAATAAGTAGGAAGAAATGGAGGTGAGATGGGGCCGGGATATCGTCTCTCTCTCTCTCTCTCTCTCTCACCCAACTTCTATCGATATATCGAATTACGAAGAGGGTTGAAGAAGGAAGAGACTTGGTTATTGGACAAGATGCATGTTCGGCACGATATCAAAGAGGAAGCAGTGATCGGTCTAGGAAGAGCGTATTCAAGGATCAAGATAGAGTGAGAGAAATAATAAAAGAGGCAAAGAGAGAGAAAAAGGGAAAGAAAAAGAAATAGAGGGAGTGAAAGAGAGAGGGGTAGAGAGATTGTGAAAAGGGCGGCTTACGTGCTAGCAAACATTATGCTAATGCCGCATGCTCATAAATGCGACGTGTGCGAACACCGACGTATATTCAACGCGTAGGGAGAAATAATCATCGCTTCTCGCAAACGTAAAAGGAGAAAGAAAATAAAAAAAAAGAGATAGAGTGAGATAGATAGATAGAGTAATCCATAACGTATCCCTCAAACTAATTACGAGTGTGTTATTTAGTCAATAGTCTATACCTTTTGTTTAGATGAAATTTCATTTGA